GCGATTTTGTGTCAGGAGGTGAGTATCTATCAAAAATACATTTTCAGGGAAGGAGAATGTAAACTTTAAAAAAATCTGTAAATTTCTAGACAAGAAAAAGTAAAAATCTTTCCTTTGTGTAATTGTTGTGAGAGATCACTAGAAAAATAACTTTTGTTGTTGTTTTTTATACAGTTTATACCACAAAAATGTGGAATTGTTGTTGGAAAGACGCATTTAAGGAAAAATGAGATTTAACATGAAATGAAATTAAGTACTGAATATTTTTGTGTGACTTTTAGAAGCCCTTCTGGACATGAAGTTTATATTTTTTTAGTGTAAAACTAACAAGCTAAGAACACATTTAATTGTTTACACACTCACATGATGTGTGGAATCCCAGAGTCACTGGCTAGAACTTCATTTTCTGATAACTTACATTGCATATACTAATATTTCCCAAATCTAATTCATTTTTTTAAAGTATAAAATACATTGGAATAAAAGATATTGGTAGCTTGGAGGACAGGAAAATGGTACCCATGTAATCTTATTCTGATACTGGAATACCATGTCTGAAAAGGCATTCAAATACCATTGTCATGATGGTTGTCCTAAGGTTGGATGTTTGAATTGAAGAAACACATTGCAGTTTTCTTATGATAAAAAAACTTATTTTGATCAGTTAAATATTTTTGGTGACTGCAAAGGGGGTGGAATTCCAAAAGTTTCTAACAATAAGTGTGGGTGGAATCCAAAACAAAGTTATTCCTGCTCTGAAAACTGATAACCTTTTAGAGTTAATAATATTTGAGCATTAAATAAACATATTATGAATTAAAAATAATATAGGAAATAATCATAACATACATGAAATTGTGAAGTTTATTTCTTTTTATGCAAGTTTAACAGGAAAGATCCATTGATAAAGAAGTATTGTTTGTGTTCAGTTCTATTTAAAAATTTGCAGTTTGTTTATTGTATTGTATCTTTTGGGTCTTTGTTATTACTTTCACTTCTTATAATGTATATATGATTTTTATTCTTTTTTCTCCTATAAAACTTACTTAATTGATACTTTTTTCTTCTTCTCATGTTATATAAGGTATACAATTACAGTCTTGCAAATAAGTGAAAATTAAATAAGTATGAAAATGACATTTTAATAATCGGGTACACTAAGTTCCATCAGAAAAGCTACAAGTATTTGCAACAGGCAGAAGATTCAGAAAATGTTAAGCAAAGACTAAATTGAACAAGGTCAGCAAAGAATTAAAGCAAATGACTTGAACAAATAAGTCTTTATCATCCTGATTTCTGGCTACTGGGGCAGAGAGAGAGGATTCTTCATGTTTGCATGAGACAGAGACAAGAATGAGAATAATATTAAGTCAGGAGGAACATTCCTAATGTGATATTCCACAATCCCAATGATCATTCCCATTATACATTTCCTAGTATGATAAATTTCAAACTTATACTATTTGTATAAATCTTTGAACTACCCTTGAAATTAGTATAAACTCACTGCTGTTGAGCATAACATGCCAACAGGGTCAAGCAAACATAAGCCTTTTTAAAAAATTGTTGTCATATATGGTCTTTGTCTAAGATAGAGAATTAGCACAAATTTATGACCTTTCCACATCTTCTTTACGAAAAGGTTAACAAACCATGTGTTCAACGCCTGTATTACATTTCTTCTAAACTACTTGAACATACCTAAATAAAGATATATTCCTTCTACTTTTTTTAGTCATTTGGCCTATAAAAGTTAACTCTCCTTCCATGAGAGCAACGAACCAGTTCTTCAAACCCATAGTATGTGTATATCCTGCAATTCAAATCTATGCATATATCCAACAAATATTTAAAACATTAAATTAACACTACCCTCTGAATCATCGGGCAGTCTATTCTATGAGTCTCATCACTGACAGAGAAAACACTTAGCCAAAGAACAAATCTGGATTTAGTTTTCTACATGTTCAGCATTTTTATTCTATCACTGAGATCACAAAACAAAGAAAGGTCTAATCCCTTAACAATTTAAAGCAGTTGTAACAAGACAACTCTAATTATCTCCATTCCAGAAAATATACAAGTCCATTTCCTGAAACCTTTCATTGTACTTCAAACTAGGTATCAATCTAGTTAACTGTCTCTGCATTTCTTCCATTACTTTTTATATTGATAACTTTCCTGTAATGAGGAGGACAAAAATTATGTATCTAAATATAACCCACCAGACTTACACTAGGTTACAATAACCTTTTTACTCTTAAGTCAAAGATTTTAAAATATATCCCTATTAGCTCTTTCTGTTTTTAACTCAACTAATACTCGGTTGTAGACTTCAAAAACCATACTTAAATTTTTCTCTGTGTTTCAAACAACATCAGTGCCATTCTCATGCAAAATATAAGTTCTCTACAACTTTCTATACCTCATTTATGTTACCATACTTTATTTTTCTCAATATTTAAAGTTCATTTTGCTATTCTAGCCCAGTTCGTACAACTATACAGATCCTTCTGAATAAATGAAGCACTGTTAACAGTATCAGCCCTTATAGAATCATAGTGTTATCAAAACTTTTGGAGCTATACATACTGTTGATAAAAATATTAAACATCAAAGAACATAAATAGACTCCTATTTTTGTGGTAAACAAGCACAAAACTTAACTACAATTTAACTTATTCACATTATTGTGATTGTTAAAATGTTAATCCTCAAATGTTTACTATTTGATTAGTTTTTATTTTGTGGATTAGGAATGGAGCAATAATACACCCTACTCGTAACTCTTTTAAACTAAACTGGGGAGTCATGCAGTAAATCTTTCTACATGAGACCTGACTGTGATGTCTCTTTCTAGCAATGTAACTCTTCCAGGTATTAATAACACATAAGTTAGTTTTTCAGATGAATGTTATTAGAACAAATTGTTTTATTAATACACCAAGAGACAAAATATTGTCAACAGGATTAATGAAAAAATAACAATTAAAACTCAACTTTTTTTTCTTTTTGCAATTAAGAGCAATTAAAAAATTTATTTCACAGAGTTAGGTAGGTATTCTTAGCTAAATATTTTTAGTTTAAAATTTATCAGTTTGTTCTGGTTAGCAGTTTTAAGTTATAGTCAAAAGCTAATAAACTTAAACAGTACTTTCATGATGATATAAAATATTTTTGCTAATGCTAAAGCACCTTTCTCTTCCATTTCTGTAATGTTTATAATCATTACTTGCAATTGGAGCCAGTATGTTAAACAAGTCTAAGCAACATGAAATATTTAAATGAGACCTTTAAATTTATCTTGCCAACCTTTTACTTACATGTAAGAAAAGCAGTAAAATTGTGTTTGGTGTGAACCAGTAAGTGATGATTTAAAAAGCTAATAGTGAATATATGACTATTTTGGCTAAATGTGTTTAAACAAAATATCAAATTAGCATGAAAATACTATGGGCATAACACCTTCAGTTTATAATGTATGTTAGAGAATAATAACAAACTTTTCAGTTCTGTTTATAACAGGAATTGATGCAAGAAATACCCCAGAGTCAAGAATCTGGTACTAAAATGGTTCTTTTGATACTTAATTAATATGTAATATAATCAAGGCAGATGCTGAAAACATGTAATCCTTTCTTAAAACATAGGACTTACACAAAATTTGCATCTTGATGACCATTCTATTCTTAGAATGTAACCATTTTATATCAAGATCTCATCTGAAATAAACCTTTCATTTCCAAACGATAAGAACATGCTAGATGGCTCTTAGAATAGTGATGTACATTCATAAACGTAAACTTTGGGCATGTTTTGAACGTAGGAAATTTCTTAAAGCTACAAAAGACCACAGCTAAGATATGTGAAACGTAACTTGTAGTTATTACTTTTATCTATGCACATCTTCTATTGTTGGCCTTATAGAAAACTTTTGGGAAAGTGAATTAATAATACAGATGAATATGGACTGAAAGTTGGTTGTATGAAGAGTGAAGGAAATGGAAGAAATTGAATAGTTTTTATTTCAAGTAGAATTTCTTTAATAGAGCTAAAGACTTTAACACGAGCATTCTGATCAAACTTTTATCCATAAATTTAAGGAATAAGTTAAAATTAACTCCAAAATGATTTAATATGGCCAATTATAACCATTATCAAACTGTGTATTATAGAAAAATCAGTTAAGGCTACAAAGTCTGACAATTTTATATGTCATGTAAAGGCAGTAGGGTAATTTCAAAAGTCCAGTGTTATAATAGTATATGTTTGTTTTTCACAAGAAAAACAATTGCAAATACTTAGTTAACAATTTCAGACTTACTTTGATTATGATCATTTGAATTGTGATGTTTGTTAGAATAGCGGTTTCTGAAAACTATATGTTATTGATACACAGAAGACTTGGTAATAACCATTTCTTTGGAAGAACTCTTTATGAACTAAATAGATTTTTGGTTTTATTAGCTACTTAAATATTTTAGTTCTTCAACTGAAATATCTAGTTCATCTAAACTTAAGTAATATTATAAATTGTTTTTTTAAAAAAGTAAGTTTTCAAATGAAATAGTTAAAGTAATTTATGAGATGCAATTTTGAAATGAATATGCACTATAATGTAGTCTGACAAAGAAATATAAAACATTATTTGATACAGGAATGTTTTCAGTTGAATCGTTTAAAGTGGGAAATGTGTGAAACAACTGTGTATTGAAATTTTCAGCAAGTGAAAATATGTTTGAATAATTACAAATAATGGAAAAGAAAATACAGTCACATTTAACATTTCATTAAACCAACTATTCTATGTCTCATGAATATCTAAACATTTTTGTTGATGTATTTTAATGATTTAGTAAAATAACACTCATGTTAATCAGTGACTATCAATATGTTTTATAGGAAATGGTAACCTAAATCTTTGATTGTAAGAGCATCTTATATGAAACTTGTCATTAGTATATTGTTTGGAGATAATGACATTAATAAACATTTTTCAGTTAAGGTGCCCCAAATTGTGAAAATTTTGAAAGCAAAGAGTGCAGAAGGAATTAATCTGTTTGGAGTTCTGTTAGAGTTGATGGGAGTGGCAGCATCAGCAGCATACTGTTTAGCAAATGGTTATCCTTTTAGGTAAATGTTTATGTGTGGAAATATTTCATTTTGTATATTGCACATAATAAAAGCTGTATCGGTTTTTTAGATTATTCTGTGAAAATATTTTTTACAGTTGGATAATTCCAATAGAATGTGTTATCTCTTTAAAAAATTTTTATAGAACCTAATGTATTAGAATTTTATATGAATATTGAATGAAAAAAGCAAGAAATTATGTTTAGTTATTGATTATGTGTTATAAGAATTTTATATCAAAATTCTGATATGCTTATGTTGCAACTTTGAACCCAAGCAATTAATGCCAGGTAAAAGCATATTCAAGTAAATATTTCAACAAAAAAAGAAAATCTCCTGATTTATAACTTTCCTTAGAGAACTGTAACTTTTAAACTTTCGATAGATGGCAGCACAAGACAATTTAGAATTTACTCAACGATTTTTTGATCATGACATGTTCATCTATTTTTTACGATGTACAACTTGGGATGTTAAAATGTAAAATATTATGCAGCATGCTAAAATACATTTATTTCATTTAGGATTATTTTTGAACCATAAGAAACTTCCTTTTACACGAGTCATAGCATAGTGTTTTATGCAGCTCTTTAATGAAAGATTGTTCTAAAAGACAAAGTAATTTTTTGTTCGGTATTCTTCACAAAATTATTCATATATTAGTGAGTAGGCCAGTTTGTGAACGAAGGGATGAAAGTTTGTGAAAGTTATTCGCAGTAAATATATATATATATATAATAAATAGTTATAAGCGGGTCGCCCAATAGATGCCGCCACCTCCAATATCTGTCACAAGTTTACAGAAAAGCTACTAACATTTTTGGTATGTATCAGAAAAAAACTGTTGATGATCAAATTTGAGATTAGCTACGTATGTATGTATGTGTCTTGATGCCATGTTCAAGTTTGTGTATGGTAATCTGTCATACTTGGTTTAATGATATGATAGACATTAATTGTGGTTTATAGTGAACATTTTAGTCTTTTGTATATTTAATTGAAGATTTTAACTCCAGTTGTTCAATTTTTTTGCGTATCATGCGAAAAGATACAAATATGAAGGCTGTCTTCCATCATTCGAAAAACATTTTGTGGTCCTATCAGCAAAACTAGAGGAAATTCCTGTATGTTACACGTGATATTGCAAAATGATCCGAATAAAACATTGTGTAGATACTAATGAAATAATGCATTACACGAAGCAAAGTATAATTTAAATTTGTAATATAACAGCTATGACAAGTCAAAACTACTTACAAAATAATGCCCATCATCCTTCATTGTAATTCATATCAAGCATTTAATGACCAGTCGTAATCTGAAATGGTAATTGCTCATTAAGCCTTCTTTTTAATACTTGAAGTAGTGATTCCACACAGTATGTTCTAAGTTGTCACTTGGAAGTGAATTAGCTGTGATTGGTCGGGTTTCATTCATCCGATAATTCTCCACATGAGTGAAACATAGAAATGCCTTCTTATGGTCTAGTCATGGTTCATAAGAAATCTAGAGCATTATAAACTTTGAAACTAACGCGAATTGACTACAAGTGTCTCAGGGTATCGCTAGCAGAATGTAGAACTGTTTTTAAGCTAATGGAACAGTTGCAAGGGTATTTGGATAAAACAGACCATCATACAACACAAGCAGGTTGTCTTTATCTTTCAAATTGGTGTGCCACTATCGTAGAATACTGCTCAGAGACTGAATCACATTCTCGCAGTTGATTCAGTTCACATGAGGTTAGAAACAAATATCACAAGGCCGGCTTTTATGTCCAGGCTTTCACCAAGTTGCATTTCGTTCGCAGAAAGACACAAAAGATTCGCCTGCAATGGTGCCAGTGACGTGTCCAACGGACCAGAAATATATGGGGCGATATTCTTTTTATAGATGTGTCCTACAGCCAGATACAAATGAATACCCATTTAGAGAGAATTGGGTACCAGATTCCACCCATTTTCTTGCAATAACGTGATTTGTATGAGCAGAAATATACATCTCCATGAGAAGGAATAACATTTGTCGGCATACTTCTGTATTTTGCAGACAGGTACTATTTATGCCACATTATGGGTATCTTAACCTATAACCCACCATGATAATATATGCTGATGCGATTGGTCATGTTTTAGCGTAATGGGTAGCAGTTTCTTCGTCTACTGTGTTAATCTGATCGATACATTACCTTGAAGAAGTGATTGGCCCAGTGGAATGGCCTTCACACTCACGGGACTTAAACCCACCAAGCATGTATAGGATGCTCTTGGGAGTCGTGTCACATTCCATCAGTGACTCCAGACATAAAGTATGTCCTGAAAACAGCTCTTTCAGGGGAGTAGTCAAGGTGACTTCAGGATCATATCAATATACTGGGTTAAAGCATGAAACATCGGTGCCAGGCTGCCCTAACTGTTAGTTGTGACTATATTTGATTCTGAAATAAAATGTTACGAACTGTAAAGTTGTAAGGCCAATTATACTAAATACTCATTTATGACATTTCAGTTCATAAGACGTATCATTAGATGCTTGCTTCATTTGCATAAGAGTGAACCGGGGTGGATTGATTGGCATTGTTTTGGCAGCACTGTAACGTTATAAATTTCGATTGGGCTTCACTTATTTTGTGCAGTATACTTAGCATATATCTAAGCACACACTAACAATGTATTTTCAGTTGTTAAAGATGCTCTTTGTACAAAAAACCTTTACTTTTTTGTGCGCGTGTAAGAGAGAGAGAGAGAATGTTACTCCGAAACGAACCATTTTTACACTCTAAGCACCAATTGTAATATAGCATTCAAGTGTCTAATGTTGAAAAAGCTTTTACGTTATAGTAAATCTCTTAATCTTACTGGAATTTCTATTGTCATATCTTTGTTTTAACTCGCATATCATAATTGCACGATATAAAACGTATTAAAATGACTTTACAAATGGTAGTCAAATTCTGTGTTGTAAAAACGTTACCTTAAACAAATTTAAGGTTATTAGTACGTCTTACCATTTTATGGTTAGCAGTATTTCAAGTACGCGCGTCTATAGTATTTTAGTATTAAACAAGTTAAAAGGTTATATAAGTATATTGAATTCAAGAATGGAACCTCGGCTATTTATAAACTAAACAAGATGTTCAAAAAGAAATTATTGACATAAGTGTTTCCATAGCCTTAAAATAAACATATAAGTAGGTAAAGTGCCAAATATAAAAAGCCTTTAATCTACTCTGTAAAGTCATCAACCTGAACAAGTATTTGTATATCTGTAAGATAGAAGTGATAAACATCCTGTACAGAAGACATATCAACGTTGTCAGTTTGATTACTGAAATTTTATCTTCCTTCACGTGCTTCTGGAGTTCCGTTGAGCTTTACTGTGTTGAATGATAGATCTTCACAACAATTCACGCTTACGCCCGAACAGACGGGAGGGGGGGGGGGGGGGGCACGGTATTATTAAACAATATTTACAAATTAATACAGCTATATGTCATATTGAAGTGCATCACTAAATTATATTCTGCTTTTGTGGTATTATTAAACAATATTTACAAATTAATACAGCTATATGTCATATTGAAGTGCATCACTAAATTATATTCTGCTTTTGTGGTATTAGTAAACAATATTTACAAATTAATACAGCTATATGTCATATTGAAGTGTATCACTAAATTATATTCTGCTTTTGTGGTATTATTAAACAATATTTACAAATTAATACAGCTATATGTCATATTGAAGTATATCACTAAATTATATTCTGCTTTTGTGGTATTATTAAACAATATTTACAAATTAATACAGCTATATGTCATATTGAAGTGTATCACTAAATTATATTCTGCTTTTGTGGTATTATTTTATTAACATTTAAATTCCCTTCTTTTGGTATTACAGAAACCAGTTAAACCATCAAGTTTTTCTACCTCTATAAAGCATTTAATAATCTAGACGCCTTCTAGAATCCTACATTACTCGCATCTAAAGGGAAAACACGATTATAGCAATCAAATAAAATATATGAAAATGTATACTGTACAAAATTATCTTATTATAATAAGTTAATTGTTGTTTAGTTTTGTTTTGATAGCAGAAAACGCTGCGTGCTGATTGATCAAAGTTGAGTACGGATTAAGTTACAACATCGTGAGAACATTGATTACATAAAGTTAATTTCTTTTCACGTTTATTTTATGTATTTATATCTTAAAGTCAGTACTATAGGGAAAACAAATACTTGTTTGTATTGCCTATTAAGTATTAACAAGTTCACTTATAATTTAAACCCACTGTTTGTTGTAAGGCCTGACTAAAAAAAACATTCTCGAAATGTCGCTGCATGATTTATAAAATTTAGAACGATCGTTTTTACTGGCTATGACCTTTGAGTAATCTTCTATGAATTGTTTTATTAAAACATTCAGACAACTTGTTCCGTTTATGTGTAGTGAAAGTGGCCGTTATTTGGCGTGTGCACGGTTTAGCACTGTAAATATATGTGCTTGTTGAAAAGTGATTCTAAGAATAAATACTTATACGTTTATGTGTAGTAAAAGTGGCCGTTCTTTGGCGTGTGCACGGTTTAGTACTGTAAATATATGTGCTTGTTGTTGTTAATCACCAAGCTTAATCAGTGATAAGCACGAGAATTTCAAAAATGGGCTAATACGAGGCTCTGTGATTTTAACCTTCTTTGATTGTAACAAGGTACTCGGGTCTGCCCGGCTTCCCATCTATATTTAGTATTTCCTTTACTTTCTAAAAGTGTAGGCTAAAATATATTAGCAACAAATAACTCAATATACCAACCTCCCGTCTTTTAAAATTATACAAGCCTCCTCTATTATCAATTATGTTCTACCAATGAGGACCAGTCTTCGTCAAAGCTGCACCCCTCAAGTACTCCTGGCATGAATGCTTTTCTTTCTTCTTTATCCCCTGTGCAACAATTCCTCTCACTGGTAAACATGTAATAAAGCATTATATTCGTGCAGG